AGCACGACGATATGTGAAAGGGGTATGTGCAGCACATGTGGCATGTCCATGAATACGTGAATTGCGTGCGATTCGAGCGGGTTGCGGATTGGGCGTGTTGTGGCTGAACTAGGTGCTCTTATGGTGTAAAGGTTAGCACTCTGGACTTTGAATCCAGCGATCCGGGTTCAAATCCCGGTAGGACCTCGTTTTGCACCGCTTCTACCGGCCCTACAACGCCCCAGTTGTTGCTGCGTTGCGCACCTGCCACACGCTACAGCCGCGTCACGTTGTGTTGCCGTGGTGTGTTATATCGTGTCCCGGCGATCCGCTGCCGATTTAAGTGGTAGCTGCTGCTCTGGCAGAGCTCACCAAGCCTAGCTGCCGTTTTCGCTAACTGCACTACCAATTCTCCAAGACAGCCAGAGGGTTCATCGCAGCCTTCCGCGAGAACAATAGATCCCGTGGGTATCCATAACACGAAGAAATGCGACGTCAAAAGCGAGTAGCAACCGGATGGCTCGAGGCGGGGATTGAAGCAAGCCGGGTGGCGAAAGAAGCATGCGAGCATGGCCGTAAGTGTAGGAGCACGATGATATGTGAAAGGGGTATGTGCAGCACATGTGGCATGTCCGTGAATACGTGAATTGCGTGCGATTCGAGCGGGTTGCGGTTTGGGGTGTGTTGTGTCTGAGCTAGGTGCTGTTCTTATGGTGTAATGGTTAGCACTCTGGACTCTGAATCCCAGCGATCCGGGTTCAAATCCCGGTAGGACCTCGTTTTGCACCGCTTCTACCGGCCCTACAACGCCCCAGTTGTTGCTGCGTTGCGCACCTGCCACACGCTACAGCCGCGTCACGTTGTGTTGCCGTGGTGTGTTATATCGTGTCCCGGCGATCCGCTGCCGATTTAAGTGGTAGCTGCTGCTCTGGCAGAGCTCACCAGCCTAACTGCCGACTTCGCTGATTGCATATTTATTTTTCCAGAACAGCCCGAGGGTTTCTTGGCCACTCTTGCGGGAGAAACATAAGTTTCGGTGGGTTTTTCACAAAACCGGGAGAGAAATTGGGGGTTTTCCAAGAGCGATTAGCACACCCGGTGGTCTGGAGGGGGGGGTTGGAAAAACAAACCAAGCGTGGTAGAGAAAAGAAGCATGCGAGCATGGCCGTAAGTGTAGGAGCACGATGATATGTGAAAGTGGTATGTGCAGCACATGTGGCATGTCCGTGAATACGTGAATTGGGTGCCATTCGAGCGGGTTGCGGATTTGGCGTGGTGTGTCTGGGCTAGGTGCTCTTATGGTGTAATGGTTAGCCATCTGGACTTTGAATCCAGCGATCCGGGTTCAAATCCCGGTAGGAGCTTGATTTTGTGCGGCGTTGCAAGCATAGTATGTAGCGATGGCGCCAGCTGTCGTGTGGGGCTTTAGGAAAGCGTTTGAAATTTTGTTTGCGGATTGGTGAGTTAGTGCTGGTCTTATGGTGTAATGGTTAGCACTCTGATCTCTGAATCCAGCGATCCGGGTTCAAATCCCGGTAGGACCTCGTTTTGCGCCGCTTCTACCGGCCCTACAACGCCTCAGTTGTTGCTGCGTTGCGCACCTGCCACACGCTACAGCCGCGTCACGTTGTGTTGCCGTGGTGTGTTATATCGTGTCCCGGCGATCCGCTGCCGATTTAAGTGGTAGCTGCTGCTCTAGCAGAGCTCACCAAGCCTAACTGCCGACTTCGCTGACTGCACTACCAATTCTCCAAGACAGCCAGAGGGCTCATCGCAGCCTTCCGCGAGAACAATAGATCCCGTGGGTATCCATAACACGAAGAAATGCGACGTCAAAGCGAGTAGCAACCGGATGGCTCGAGGCGGGGATTGAAGCAAGCCTGGTGGCGAAAGAAGCATGCGAGCATGGCCGTAGGTGTAGGAGCACGATGATATGTGAAAGTGGTATGTGCAGCACATGTGGCATGTCCGTGAATACGTGAATTGGGTGCCATTCGAGCGGGTTGCGGATTTGGCGTGGTGTGTCTGGGCTAGGTGCTCTTATAGATATAATGAGTAAGCCATCTGGACTTTGAATCCAGCGATCCGAATTCAAATACCGGTATGAGCTTGATTATGTGCGGCGTTGCAAGCATAGTATGTAGCGATGGCGCCAGCTGTCGTGTGGGGCTTTAGGAAAGCGTTTGAAATTTTGTTTGCGGATTGGTGAGTTAGTGCTGGTCTTATGGTGTAATCGTTAGCACTCTGGACTCTGAATCCAGCGATCCGGGTTCAAATTCCGGTAGGAGCTTGATTTTGTGCGGTTGCAAGCATAGAATGTAGCGATGGCGCCAGCTGTCGTGTGGGGCTTTGAGAAAGCGTTTGAAATTTTGTTTGCGGATTGGTGAGTTAGTGCTGGTCTTATGGTGTAATGGTTAGCACTCTGGACTCTGAATCCAGCGATCCGGGTTCAAATCCCGGTAGGACCTCGTTTTGCACCGCTTCTACCGGCCCTACAACGCCCCAGCTGTTGCTGCGTTGCGCACCTGCCACACGCTACAGCCGCGTCACGTTGTGTTGCCGTGGTGTGTTATATCGTGTCCCGGCGATCCGCTGCCGATTTAAATGGTAGCTGCTGCTCTGGCAGAGCTCACCAAGCCTAACTGCCGACTTCGCTGACTGCACTACCAATTCTCCAAGACAGCCAGAGGGCTCATCGCAGCCTTCCGCGAGAACAATGGATCCCGTGGGTATCCATAACAAGAAGAAATGCGACGTCAAAGCGAGTAGCATCCCGTATGGTGTCGAGGACGGAGACTGAAGCAAGCCTGGTGAGCGAACAGACGCATGCGAGCATGACCATAAGTGTAGGAGCACGACGATATGTGAAAGGGGTATGTGCAGCACATGTGGCATGTCCATGAATACGTGAATTGCTTGCGATTCGAGCGGGTTGCGGATTGGGCGTGTTGTGTCAGAGCTAGGTGCTCTTATGGTGTAATGGTTAGCCATCTGGACTTTGAATCCAGCGATCCGGGTTCAAATCCCGGTAGGAGCTTGATTTTGTGCGGCGTTGCAAGCATAGTATGTAGCGATGGCGCCAGCTGTCGTGTGGGGCTTTAGGAAAGCGTTTGAAATTTTGTTTGCGGATTGGTGAGTTAGTGCTGGTCTTATGGTGTAATGGTTAGCACTCTGATCTCTATATCCAGCGATCCGGGTTCAAATCCCGGTAGGACCTCGTTTTGCGCCGCTTCTACCGGCCCTACAACGCCTCAGTTGTTGCTGCGTTGCGCACCTGCCACACGCTACAGCCGCGTCACGTTGTGTTGCCGTGGTGTGTTATATCGTGTCCCGGCGATCCGCTGCCGATTTAAGTGGTAGCTGCTGCTCTAGCAGAGCTCACCAAGCCTAACTGCCGACTTCGCTGACTGCACTACCAATTCTCCAAGACAGCCAGAGGGCTCATCGCAGCCTTCCGCGAGAACAATAGATCCCGTGGGTATCCATAACACGAAGAAATGCGACGTCAAAGCGAGTAGCAACCGGATGGCTCGAGGCGGGGATTGAAGCAAGCCTGGTGGCGAAAGAAGCATGCGAGCATGGCCGTAAGTGTAGGAGCACGATGATATGTGAAAGGGGTATGTGCAGCACATGGGGCATGTCCGTAAATACGTGAATTGCGTGCGATTCGAGCGGGTTGCGGATTGGGCGTGGTGTGTCTGAGCTAGGTGCTCTAATGGTGTAATGGTTAGCACTCTGGACTTTGAATCCAGCGATCCGGGTCAAATTCCGGTAGGACCTCGTTTTGCACCGCTTCAACCGGCCCTACAACGCCCCAGCTGTTGCTGCGTTGCGCACCTGCCACACGCTACAGCCGCGTCACGTTGTGTTGCCGTGGTGTGTTATATCGTGTCCCGGCGATCCGCTGCCGATTTAAGTGGTAGCTGCTGCTCTGGCAGAGCTCACCAAGCCTAACTGCCGACTTCGCTGACTGCACTACCAATTCTCCAAGACAGCCAGGGGGTTCATCGCAGCCTTCCGCGAGAACAATTGATCCCGTAGGTATCCATAACACGAGGAAATGCGACGTCAAAGCGAGTAGCAACCGGATGGCTCGAGGCGAGGATTGAAGCAAGCCTGGTGGCGAAAGAAGCATGCGAGCATGGTCGTAAGTGTAGGAGCACGATGATATGTGAAAGGGGTATGTGCAGCAAATATGGCATGTCCTGTGAATATGTGAATTGCGTGCGATGCGAGCGGGTTGCGGATTGGGCGTGTTGTGTCTGGGCTAGGTGCTCTTATGGTGTAATGGTTAGCACTCTGGACTTTGAATCCAGCGATCCGGGTTCAAATCCCGGTAGGAGCTTGGTTTTGTGCGGCGTTGCAAGCATAGTATGTAGCGATGGCGCCAGCTGTCGTGTGGGGCTTTAGAAAAGCGTTTGAAATTTTGTTTGCGGATTGGTGAGTTAGTGCTGGTCTTATGGTGTAATGGTTAGCACTCTGGACTCTGAATCCAGCGATCCGGGTTCAAATCCCGGTAGGACCTCGTTTCGCGCCGCTTCTACCGGCCCTACAACGCCCCAGTTGTTGCTGCGTTGCGCACCTGCCACACGCTACAGCCGCGTCACGTTGTGTTGCCATGGTGTGTTGTATCGTGTCCCGGCGATCCGCTGCCGATTTAAGTGGTAGCTGCTGCTCTGGCAGAGCTCACCATGCTTAACTGCCGACTTCGCTGACTGCACTACCAATTCTCCAAGACAGCCAGAGGGTTCATCGCAGCCTTCCGCGAGAACAATTTGATCCCGTGGGTATCCATAACACGAAGAAATGCGACGTCAAAGCGAGTAGCAACCGGGATGGCTCGAGGCGGGGATTGAAGCAAGCCTGGTTGTCGAAAGAAGCATGCGAGCATGGCCCGTAAGTGTAGGAGCACGATGATATGTGAAAGTGGTATGTGCAGCACATGTGGCATGTCCATGAATACGTGAATTGCGTGCGATTCGAGCGGGTTGCGGATTGGCCGTGTTGTGTCTGAGCTAGGTGTTCTTATGGTGTAATGGTTAGCACTCTGGCTTCTGAATCCAGCGATCCGGGTTCAATCCCGGTAGGACCTCGTTTTGCACCGCTTCTACCGGCCCTACAACGCCCCAGTTGTTGCTGCGTTGCGCACCTGCCACACGCTACAGCCGCGTCACGTTGTGTTGCCGTGGTGTGTTATATCGTGTCCCGGCGATCCGCTGCCGATTTAAGTGGTAGCTGCTGCTCTGGCAGAGCTCACCAAGCCTAACTGCCGACTTCGCTGACTGCACTACCAATTCTCCAAGACAGCCAGAGGGCTCATCGCAGCCTTCCGCGAGAACAATAGATCCCGTGGGTATCCAAAACACGAAGAAATGCGACGTCAAAGCGAGTAGCAACCGGATGGTTCGAGGCGGGGATTGAAGCAAGCCGGGTGGCGAAAGAAGCATGCGAGCATGGCCGTAAGTGTAGGAGCACGATGATATGTGAAAGGGGTATGTGCAGCACATGGGGCATGTCCGTAAATACGTGAATTGCGTGCGATTCGAGCGGGTTGCGAATTGGGCGTGTTGTGTCTGAACTAGGTGCTCTTATGGTGTAATGGTTAGCACTCTGGACTTTGAATCCAGCGATCCGGGTTCAAATCCCGGTAGGAGCTTGATTTTGTGCGGCGTTGCAAGCATAGAATGTAGCGATGGCGCCAGCTGTCGTGTGGGGCTTTAGGAAAGCGTTTGAAATTTTGTTTGCGGATTGGTGAGTTAGTGCTGGTCTTATGGTGTAATCGTTAGCACTCTGGACTCTGAATCCAGCGATCCGGGTTCAAATTCCGGTAGGAGCTTGATTTTGTGCGGTTGCAAGCATAGAATGTAGCGATGGCGCCAGCTGTCGTGTGGGGCTTTGAGAAAGCGTTTGAAATTTTGTTTGCGGATTGGTGAGTTAGTGCTGGTCTTATGGTGTAATGGTTAGCACTCTGGACTCTGAATCCAGCGATCCGGGTTCAAATCCCGGTAGGACCTCGTTTTGCACCGCTTCTACCGGCCCTACAACGCCCCAGCTGTTGCTGCGTTGCGCACCTGCCACACGCTACAGCCGCGTCACGTATGTGTTGCCGTGGTGTGTTATATCGTGTCCCGGCGATCCGCATGCGCGATTTAAGTGGTAGCTGCCTGCTCTGGCAGAGCTCGACCAAGCTTAACTGCCGACTTCGCTGACTGCACTACCAATTCTACAAGACAGCCAGAGTGTTCATCGCAGCCTTCCCGCGAGAACAATAGATCCCCGTGGGTATCCATAACACGGAAGAAATGCGACGTCAAAGCGAGTAGCAACCGGATGGCTCGAGGCGGGGATTGAAAGCAAGCGTGGTGGCGAAAGAAGCATGCGAGCATGGCCGTAAGTGTAGGAGCACGACGATATGTGAATGGGGTATGTGCAGCACATGTGGCATGTCCGTGAATATGTGAATTGCGTGCGATTCGAGCGGGTTGCGGATTGGGCGTGTTGTGTCTAAGCTAGGTGCTCTTATGGTGTAATGGTTAGCACTCTGGACTTTGAATCCAGCGATCCGGGTTCAAATCCCGGTAGGAGCTTGATTTTGTGCGGCGTTGCAAGCATAGTATGTAGCGATGGCGCCAGCTGTCGTGTGGGGCTTTGAGAAAGCGTTTGAAATTTTGTTTGCGGATTGGTGAGTTAGTGCTGGTCTTATGGTGTAATGGTTAGCACTCTGGACTCTGAATCCAGCGATCCGGGTTCAAATCCCGGTAGGACCTCGTTTTGCACCGCTTCTACCGGCCCTACAACGCCCCAGCTGTTGCTGCGTTGCGCACCTGCCACACGCTACAGCCGCGTCACGTTGTGTTGCCGTGGTGTGTTATATCGTGTCCCGGCGATCCGCTGCCGATTTAAGTGGTAGCTGCTGCTCTGGCAGAGCTCACCAAGCCTAACTGCCGACTTCGCTGACTGCACTACCAATTCTCCAAGACAGCCAGAGGGTTCATCGCAGCCTTCCGCGAGAACAATAGATCCCGTGGGTATCCATAACACGAAGAAATGCGACGTCGAAGCGAGTAGCAACCGGATGGCTCGAGGCGGGGATTGAAGCAAGCCTGGTGGCGAAAGAAGCATGCGAGCATGGCCGTAGGTGTAGGAGCACGATGATATGTGAAAGTGGTATCCATAACACGAAGAAATGCGACGTCAAAGCGAGTAGCAACCGGATGGCTCGAGGCGGGGATTGAAGCAAGCCTGGTGGCGAAAGAAGCATGCGAGCATGGCCGTAAGTGTAGGAGCACGATGATATGTGAAAGGGGTATGTGCAGCACATGTGGCATGTCCGTGAATACGTGAATTGCGTGCGATTCGAGCGGGTTGCGGATTGGGCGTGTTGTGGCTGAACTAGGTGCTCTAATGGTGTAATGGTTAGCACTCTGGACTTTGAATCCAGCGATCCGGGTTCAAATCCCGGTAGGACCTCGTTTTGCACCGCTTCTACCGGCCCTACAACGCCCCAGTTGTTGCTGCGTTGCGCACCTGTCACATGCTACAGCCGCGTCACGTTGTGTTGCCGTGGTGTGTTATATCGTGTCCCGGCGATCCGCTGCCGATTTAAGTGGTAGCTGCTGCTCTGGCAGAGCTCACCATGCTTAACTGCCGACTTCGCTGACTGCACTACCAATTCTCCAAGACAGCCAGAGGGTTCATCGCAGCCTTCAGCGAGAACGATTGATCCCGTGGGTATCCAAAACACGAAGAAATGCGACGTCAAAGCGAGTAGCAACCGGATGGCTCGAGGCGGGGATTGAAGCAAGCCTGGTGGCGAAAGAAGCATGCGAGCATGGCCGTAAGTGTAGGAGCACGACGATATGTGAAAGGGGTATGTGCAGCACATGTGGCATGTCCATGAATACGTGAATTGCGTGCGATTCAAGCGGGTTGCGGATTGGGCGTGTTGTGTCTGAGCTAGGTGCTCTTATGGTGTAATGGTTAGCACTCTGGACTTTGAATCCAGCGATCCGGGTTCAAATCCCGGTAGGAGCTTGATTTTGTGCGGCGTTGCAAGCATAGTATGTAGCGATGGCGCCAGCTGTCGTGTGGGGCTTTAGGAAAGCGTTTGCAATTTTGTTTGCGGATTGGCGAGTTAGTGCTGGTCTTATGGTGTAATGGTTAGCACTCTGGACTCTGAATCCAGCGATCCGGGTTCAAATCCCGGTAGGACCTCGTTTTGCGCCGCTTCTACCGGCCCTACAACGCCCCAGTTGTTGCTGCGTTGCGCACCTGCCACACGCTACAGCCGCGTCACGTTGTGTTGCCATGGTGTGTTGTATCGTGTCCCGGCGATCCGCTGCCGATTTAAGTGGTAGCTGCTGCTCTGGCAGAGCTCACCAAGCCTAACTGCCGACTTCGCTGACTGCACTACCAATTCTCCAAGACAGCCAGAGGGCTCATCGCAGCCTTCCGCGAGAACAATTGATCCCGTGGGTATCCATAACACGAAGAAATGCGACGTCAAAGCGAGTAGCAACCGGATGGCTCGAGGCGGGGATTGAAGCAAGCCTGGTGGCGAAAGAAGCATGCGAGCATGGCCGTAAGTGTAGGAGCACGACGATATGTGAAAGGGGTATGTGCAGCACATGTGGCATGTCCGTGAATACGTGAATTGCGTGCGATTCGAGCGGGATGCGGATTGGGCGTGTTGTGTCTGAGCTAGGTGCTCTTATCGTGTAATGGTTAGCACTCTGGACTCTGAATCCAGCGATCCGGGTTCAAATCCCGGTAGGAGCTTGATTTTGTGCGGCGTTGCAAGGCATAGTATGTAGCGATGGACGCCAGCTGTCGTGGTGGGGGCTTTAGGAAAAGCGTTTCGAAATTTTGTTTGCGGATTGGTGAGTTAATGCTGGTCCTAATGGTGGTAAATGGTTAGCACTCTGGGACTCTGAATCCAGCGATCCGGGTTCAAAATCCCGGGTAGGGACCTCGTTTTGCACCGCTTCTACCGGCCCCACAACGCCCCAGTTGTTGCTGCGTTGCGCACCTGCCACACGCTACAGCCGCGTCACGTTGTGTTGCCGTGGCTGTGTTATATCCGTGTCCCGGCGATCCGCTGCCGATTTAAGTGGTAGCTGCTGCTCTGGCAGAGCTCACCAAGCCTAACTGCCGACTTCGCTGACTGCACTACCAATTCTCCAAGACAGCCAGAGGGCTCATCGCAGCCTTCCGCGAGAACAATAGATCCCGTGGGTATTCAAAACACGAAGAAATGCGACGTCAAAGCGAGTAGCAACCGGATGGCTCGAGGCGGGGATTGAAGCAAGCCGGGTGGCGAAAGAAGCAGGCGAGCATGTCCGTAAGTGTAGGAGCACCATGATATGTGAAAGGGGTATGTGCAGCACATGGGGCACGTCCGTAAATACGTAAATTGCGTGCGATTTGAGCGGGTTGCGAATTGGGCGTGTTGTGTCTGAGCTAGGTGCTCTTATGGTGTAATGGTTAGCACTCTGGACTTTGAATCCAGCGATCCGGGTTCAAATCCCGGTAGGAGCTTGATTTTGTGCGGCGTTGCAGGCATAGAATGTAGCGATGGCGCCAGCTGTCGTGTGGGGTTTAGGAAAGCGTTTGAAATTTTGTTTTCGGATTGGCGAGTTAGTGCTGGGCTTATGGGTGTAATGGTAATCACTCTGGTGACTGAATCCAGCGGTCAGGTTTACAATCCCCGGGAGGGACCTCGTTTTGGGCCGCTTCTACCGTCCCTAACACCCCCAGAGTGGTTGTTTGTTAACCTAGCCTGCAACACACAAATCTCCCACTACTGTTATCTCCGTGCGGGGAGAGATCACGCCCCGTCGACCCCCCTACCCATCTAGGAAGTGGGGGCCCTGCGGCCTGAGCTAAGCAAGCCTAAGGCTGATCTTCCTGCTTTTCCAGTCTGTCTCTAGAAGACAGAGAGAGAGGGGGAAGGTCCTGCTTCCACAACAAAACACCGCCGCGCGGCCCCGCCAGTTACGAGTGCCGATCTAACACGATAGAAGACAAAAGACGCGGTCCGTAGTCGGGGTGTGGTGCTAGCACAGGTGGTGGTGGAGAGGAAGGAAGGAAGGATTTGATTTTCTTTTCTTAGTCTCTATATT